GTTCTCCATTCTGTCAGTAAACTTTACCCCTTCATTCAGAAATTTGTATTCAAACTCTGAATGCGTTCACTTATGGCCCGGTTATACGTAACAATAAAATATTCAAAAACTGGATGGTAAACTGGAGCGCGTAAACAGACTACACCGTTCGATAAACTGTTCATAGACAGTTCTCGCCTACGACGTATTTGGCACAATTTATCCTTGCATGAAACTAGGACGTTAGACAGTCCGTACTCTTATACTTATAGTCCTTTCGATCAATTTTTTTTTTCCTAAGATGTTTTCATGGCGCTGATTTATTACAGCCACAGCTGTATCCAACAGTCACACCATAAGTGTTGTATTTCTTCTAAAGTATCTAGTATCTAACTACCAAGCCCAAAGGGTGAAATTTAGTTTTCTATATATATAGCTTGGTCTTGACTGACAACAAGAAGACAAGAGCACAGTTAGAAACAAAATAAAGCAAAACAAAACAAAACAACATTCTGCCATATAATCTAAATCTGATTATGATTATTTCAAGTCATACATTTTTTTTTTCTTCAGCCGGAAAACCTTCTAAAAACGTCATCATCACAGAGTTACTTCAGTTCCATCCACGGTTGGCGAAGAGATAAATGACGTAACACGTTGGCGTGACAGCAGCCCCACTGGGCTAGGGAGGAGAAAGAGCAGCCTTTTTTGGGGGTAAGAGTTTTACGGCACTTGTAACAAAATAAGGTCATACAAGTGCCGAAGATTAGAGGTGTTACAAGGGAGTAAAAAACTCAAAAACGAAGGAAGTGAGATAAGGACATGTTGATAGAAAAGAAGGAGCAAACCACACCAGAGCACCCACCAATCACTCTGAGGTCCCACAGGTAGATAGACAGATAGACAGACAGACAGACAGATAGATAGATAGATAGATAGATAGATAGATAGATAGATAGATAGATAGATAGTTAGATAGATAGATAGATAGTTAGATAGATAGATAGATAGATAGATAGATAGATAGATAGATAGATAGATAGATAGATAGATAGATAGGATGGAAGTTTGAGAGACATAATAAGAGAGGAATGTGCGAGTGTGTGAAAGGGAGGTACCGTATTGAGAGAGAGAGATAGATAGAGAAAGAGTACGATGGAGATAAGAAGGGAAGAATGAGAGAGAGATGAATGTGCGTGTGTGTGCACGCACACGAGAGTGCAGATATATATATATATATATATATATATATATATATATATATATATATAGAGAGAGAGAGAGAGAGAAATATGAAGGAAGGTATAAGAGGCTGAGAGAAAGAGAAAGAGAGTGAGAGCAGAGGAGGGGGGGGGGGGGGGGGGAGAAGGTAACAAACTGAGACAAGATACTCACGGTCATTTTTTTCATCTTCTTTTAATTCAGATATTAATTGTCATTTCAAAGACAGGAAATATTATACAAGCTGGAAAAGCTAAAATGCAAACTAAAAATGAACATCACTAGAGTGAACTTGAGGGGAAAACAGATGAAAAAAAATAATCAGTCAGCATCATAGTGTAGAAAACTCAAAAATGAAGACAAACTCAAAATGCTTTTGTTCAGAACAAAATAAAACCATGAGACAAGCTTGGAGTAAAACCCAACAACAAACTCCTCCAACGACATATTCCACCCAGCAGGCCATCGCCTTATTCGGTTCACATGAATACCACACAGCCAAACGCTATGAACTCTGCATAAAAATGATTTAAATGTACAGCATGGCAATGAATAAAAACAGTAGTATCTGCATGAAAAAAATGCAATAAATAAGTCACCTGAAAAATGTCTGGGCACAATATGCACAGGACTGACATCAAGTAAAACAATGAAGGGATCAAGTAAAACAATGAAGGGATCAAGTAAAACAATGAAGGGAAGGGTAATGGGAAAGGTGCAGGTGCTGAGAAAATACATTAAAACTTTTGAGACACTGAAGAACCTTGCAGGGTTTGAAGTCTGTCAATAGACCCTTCTGTTTGGAACAACTACAAATAAACTTTTGAATGTAACCCAAATAGCAGGGGAGACTGAAAACTCAATGCCAAAGTGGCACCAAGCACATTTTTCCCTCAACGCTTGCCTTTGAGGCTAAAAACATGTGTAATGGAAGTAATTAATATTATAACCATCTGTCACTAAATGTCTTGTTATCAATGAATAATAATAGTACCAACATTTTTTCATGAAAAGTAATGCTGCTAGAATTCTTCTTCATTTATCTACACCTCTAATAAAACAACCATTGGTAACTCTCCCCCACTTTTTACCTAAAGGGTTATTTTCCTAACAATAGAAATTACCATAAGAAGAATTTTAAACTAACCTAACATGTAACAACTTCATATAGGCCTTTATGCCAAACCACATTTTGAACTCCATCAAAGTTGTTAGTACACAAAATTAGCTTGTGCGTCATTTTATAATGTAATCTGCCATCAGAATCAAGTTTATAGACCTTCATTTATGAAAATCACTGTAACACCAGTGTAGGGTGACTAGACTAAGACTTTCAAAATAACAAAAGCTAATAATTTAAAATCATTGTGTTTAAAAGGATATGCTTCATAACAATCAGGAAATGACAAGACGTGGTCCTGAATGAGGGTAAGCTACCTTAATTAAGTATAATCCTTGGAAGAAAGCTCTGCACTGATATTTATACACCAGATTTTCAGCAAAGACAAGCAGCACAGACAATAACATTCGCAGGATGGGCATGTCACTTAAAAATAATTTTCAGACATATCGAATAAAGAAAAGGACACGAAAGTGCAATCTTTAAAAACTTTCCAACAGAATTTCATTTTCACTGACAAGGAAATTATTACCATACAACAATGCCTCCATTTAACTTCGTCAAAAATATTAATCGCCTGAACTTTTTATTTTACGTAAATGAGTCCACAAACTAGGTTCATTAAGCTTACACTTACAAAGAAAGTATGGTATCTTTAAAAGAAAGAGAGTTGAAAGTAAATTTTACTGTAAAAATAAATGCCTACCAAAAAAGGCAGCTTGCAGTTTTAGAAAGTGTAATGAAAATGCCAGACTAGTTTTCAATTTACATGCCATGGAAACCTGACATTGATACTTAAAACAGCTAAAGAACAAAAGTGTAGAAGAGTCACAACTTAAATTAAACCTTAGGTAGAGGCTTTAAAAACAACAGTAACAAGACAAAAACAGCCATCATCAAGAAATCTGCTCAAGTGCAGATGTCATAGATACGAACATCTACCAAGAAGATGACCGTGCCGTAAACAAAAATTCTGGTAACCTGACACTGGAAAGTTGAAAAGCACTTTTAATTTTGACTGGTCACAACCCACCAAATTTGGTCAAATATCTGCTTCCTACGGGTGCCTAGGTCAATTTTACACATCTCACAACATAAAATGGACGGTACTCAAGGGCTAAAGGTATATCAAGTATAAGTTTGCATAGTACTCTCACCACCGGGCAGGCTGTTGAAATTTCGAACACTTTAATTATTCTGTCTACTGCACTACTTTTTCCTGGGTTTACTTTTCCAATAAACATACTTGTAGCCTGTTGAAGTTTATTTTTACCATTTTGTCTTTGTTTGGACAAATTTCAAGTTGCAGTTCTGTAGGTCATCTAAAATGTAAGCCGAATAAAGTTTCTATTATGATGAACCATAATATACAACTCGTCATTTTCATGTTCAAACCTTCAGTCTCCAGTAATTTTACATACAGAAATAGAAAGTCTTGACACAACATCAACAAGTGCATGGGTAGAAAATTAATGAGAAATACATAACAGTGGAGCTATTTTGTTTCAAACTTAATTTGAAAAGGTGGATTAGACAAACTTGAATGTTTTATTACTTCAGCTCCTGAGCCAGAGGCCTAAAGGAACTGCTGAATCATGGTTTTCAGTTCTAGAACAGACTTTAAACCAAAGTATGAACATTAATTTTGGGAAACTACCGCTTGAAAACTAATCCCAATCATACCAAAGTCTTTTTTTTAAAGATATCGTTTTGCAGTGGTAATGTAGAACTGTGCTCAGCTACTTTTTGTCTAAGCAGATACATCTTCTTTGGATTGATGTAATCACCAACTCAGTCTGCAAGAACAATTGGTCGCTTTAAAGCACAAGGGCGCTATCCCGAAAAACGCTGTTTTGTGAAAATGGAAGCTAAGTTTTTGCCCCTTGTTCAGTTTCTTTAAAAGACAAGGAGAGTTTTCTCTTTAACCAAACAAATATATACACCAATGAAACCAAACTTCTCCTATAGGTAAGTCAATACCCACTTTTTGTGTCGGTCAAGATTTCATGAAACTCCCGAAATCTGGGTTAGCCCGCTTGTCCTTAAAAGCGGTAAATTTGGATTGTTATCTATCCCTGGTCCGCATAAAACAGGATAACATGATACTCAGACTTGGATTAATGTTTTTCACATATAAGAAACATTCAACAGAAAGAGAATAAATCATGAACACTTGTCAGCTGTACATAACGAAAGCAATGGACCTCACTTTCATCTTTCACATAGACACAAAAACAAATAGAAAAAAATACTGACTTTACTATTTTGATTTCATGTAAGATAAAAAAAAAAAGAAGCAAAATAAGGCAAAAAGTATTTCCATCCACTTCAGTACTGTAAAGAAAGCTCTTGGCTACGTGAGGCAAACATTCCATGAAAGATGGTAAAACAAATAAACAAATACAATGGAAGCAGATGGCTAAGGCATATTGCTAGAAATAGAAATTTTATGCGTTTTGAGATTGAAAGTGATGTTATTGGATCAGGCAGACATCAAGCGGTGTACAACAGTGATAACAAAACCCTACGAGAACTGGAGAGAGGAACAAACCATACCATGATTACCAATACATCACCATCAAATTATGTGAATAATTTACACGGACACCAACATTCAGGTTACAGATCAGATGATCTATACGAGAACACACGGACCAAAAATGTGAAAACGTAGTGAAGTGGGTGTGACCATGAATTTTAAGGGCGATGCACTTGTAAGGGATGGACATATTTTCCTCTTTATTTTCAGTACAAAACGATTTCTACCTTTCCATAGATCAAAGTTTGTTATGCGAAGCACTAAAACATCATGAAAATTAAATGCATTTATATTGCATATTTCTGTTGTTGGAAGTCTGATCTTCCCTCTTATTGTCATGAACCAAGAGTAAGTCAGATAGAAACAAAAAAAGAAATAAATGCGACTAATCTATCATGACATGAAATGAACACACTTAAAAAACAACAACCTACAGTCCATGTCTGTGCAATGAGAGAGCAGATGGAAGGGGAATGGGTCTACAGCTGAGATTCATTAAATAACAATAATTGGTCTTGACTACACAGCCCAAAGGGTGAAATTTAGCCTTCCATAGCTTGGTCTAGACAGACATCAAGCAGACGAATTCTGGTGAGATCAACATTTATACAGCACTCAATTGCACAACAATTGCTTTAAGAACAATGATTTCATAACCCACAACACTCTTCACTCTTTTGTATTGTCTGGTAAGTTTGATTTTTAATGCTCTGAAAAGACACAAAATTCATTGTAAAAGCAAAGTCCTAAGCCAGTTATTTAAGCACAATACTCTTCATCCTTTTGTATTGTCCGGTGAGTTTGATTTTAATGCTTTGCAAGACACAAAATTCATTGTGAAAGCAAAGTCTTTAGCCTGTCGTTTAAGCGCAGGGCTCAGGAAAACTCTCAGAAAAGAATCAAATTTGAAACTTGCTCAGGTGCCCATTTCCACTTTTTGAATGGAAATCGACCATGTAAAAGCAACCTGTTCTACAATTGTCTTCCAGTGAGAAAAATTGGTTGAACACAAGAAGCAAAATGCAGGAAAAGACCTAAGAAAGATAAGAGTGAAAAGCGAAGTTTGGGGATGGGGGGATGGAGAAGGAAAAGGTATTGAAGAAGAAGAAGGGGTAGGCAGATAATGTGTTGCATAAAGATAAATACTTTGAACAAGTCATATGGAACACAGAGGAGAAGTTCAGATTGCTTTCCAGGCCAAAAAAGGACCAGAATGTTCAACCAAATAAACAAGTTTCTGCCATCATTTACTAATGTTGAAACTTCAAACACTGGCACTTCAACTTTGAAAAAGTGGGCAAAATGAAAAACTGAACTTGAGCAATTGAACTCCTAGATTGAGGAGCCCATGTTCTTTCAGTCATATAAATACTCAAAAACCAAGACAAGACATGACAGAGAGAACTGACATTTTTTTTGTCACACTTGTCTAACCGCAGACAAAAGACATAATAGAACATTATAAAACAACTCTGAGATCCCACAGGGCTGAATGTATATACTAGTCTATGGCAAAATACGGTTCATTTTATAAATGACTAATCCCTCAGGACCAAACTAAATTGGATGCATAGAAAAAAAATACAGTTGACTGGAATAATAAAAACATGTGTGTTTACCATAATTACTCCATACAATACAGCATTATGCATTGATTATGGCAAGTTTTGAACTTTTCACACCTTTCCCTTCATGTCATGTTGAATTACACGTGAGCACGTAGCCAAACGTTGAGATGACCGGTGAAAATGACCCTGTGTCTACAAGTCTGTGATGTGGTAGGCGCCCCCTGACTTGGGCTTGCGCTGGCTGGGGGTGGTCCCTGAGCCTCCTTGCGACTGTGAAGGTGAGACAAATCGGGAGGCGGGCCGCTGTGGCAGGGGTGGTGGGGGTCCGAGTGTCGGAGAAGGAGGCTTCTGCAGCATGGGCTGCTGGGGCTGGGCCTGCTGTCCTCCTGAAAATGGTCCATTGAAATTGTCATTCCGCCTCTCATGGTAGCTGAGCGGGCTCTGATACAGAGGATAATTGGCTGCACTTTCGTAGGCCACTGGCCTGCTGTGGGCTGGGCTGCCATGGTTGCTGTGCTGCATGAGATGGGCTAGGTTGTTGGGATGGTGGGCGGGGCTACTGTGAGCACTACCCATTAAGCTGCTGGCAGCGCTACTTCCACTATAAGGAGGCGGGGCAGGGGGTGGGGTCTGCATGGGATTGGAGTCCCTCCTCAGTCCCATTCTCCCAGTGTCTAGATGGTTATGAGGGAGGCTGACAGGGGCGTTGCTGTGTACCGGGCTCCCGGGAAAGCTGCCCTGACTGCCCCCGCTGCTGTGACTGCTGCCGATACTGCCACGCCCCCGCATGTAGCCCAGACCTCCCATGCCCATGAGCTGAGGGTCGCCGGCGACACTTGCCATTCCACCCGAACTGCCGCTGCTTCCATAGCCATGGCTGTTGAAACTAGCATTGCCCGGCAAAACGCTGCGACCGCCACCACCCCCACCGCCGATACCACCACCACCCCCAACCATGCTATTGCCATGGAGATGGCTGACACTCCCACCACCAGTCTGTCCGACGACCAGTGGTGGCACCGTGCTCAGCCCTGCTTGCATGGGCACTGCAGAGTAGATGGGGCCTGAGGGTTCGCTGCTGGCGTTGCTGCCCCTTCGAGCCTCTCCCCGGTTGTGAATATTAAAGGTGGTCGGATCTACATAAAACGTCTCATTGGGATACTGTGCGTTGAGTCTGGTGATGTGACAGTTGTGGCAGAAGAGATGGTTGTCCAGGGGGTAGCACCGCTTGTCTGCCTCATCTGTTAGTTGGAGACCACAATCCTGCAATACACAGTAACAGGGAGACCCATTAGAGACAGGTTACATACTTTCCATTACAAATTCTGTTGCAATGTTTAAACATTGAGAAATCTGAACAGTTAATTTATTGTACATCAGAAGTGCAAAATTAATCATCGACGGTCCTCAAACAGACTGCAGTAAAAGATAAACATATAAAGAACCATCAGTTGGAAAGAACAGGTGTTTTCAGATCAGGAATAGACTGATAAACAAATATTGATGTTTGCCAAAATCAGTCGTTAACTTCAAAAACATATTAAATATTTGTAATAATGAATATATATAAAACCCAAATTGTTAATACCCAGAAACAGTTTTCATGGGTTTTTTTTGTTGGACTAACCCTTTGCAGTCATAAAAAATTCCAAAATATTAAAACAAATTTTTCGAATCTTCTTTTACAAAGAGAGTTAATAATGGTAGTGAATAAGATGGATGCCATACAATGGATACATATAAAGGAAAAGAATACTTCTGTGACCACTCAGCTTTTTATGTATAATAATACCATTATTATCTGGATGTTTGTTAGTCTTGGTTACAGAAGTCATCAGTACAATGTCAGTTAGATAAAACAATATTCAAGTCCTCTTGGGGGGAAAAAAAGCTTTGAGGGAACGGTAAAACCAGCATGCTTCTCTTCACCCTCTGCCATGGCACTAATCACAGGTCAAGGAAGGCAATCTATTTATCCGCATACTGTTATCTTATAGGTTTAGACAAAAACTTACATTGAAGACTTTAACAAACAACATAAGGCCAAGGAATGAAAAGACAACAAAGTTATTAGAAATAAAGGTATCAAAGAAGGGACGAAACTATCCCCAAATAAAAAAAAAATAAACAGAAAGAAAACAAGAGATCAAAAAACCAGGCTGACGTGTAGTGAAGTAAAATAAAAGTACAACACATCCCCTAGACAGGAATGAAAGAAATCCAGTGCCATAACACAACCAAACAAGTGGGATCAAAGTCAAAGCAAAACCAATAAAAGAAATCAGTCCCGAGAGGGGGAAAGGTTATATATATCTTACACAACTTTTTATAGGAAATTGTAGAGGAATCTGTCACTCTCTGTTCCTACAGCAAACATGATGCTTTTATAGGAAATTCCTGAGAAATCAGACACTAGATTCTATCTGTTACGTAGTTGGAAGCGAAACAAAAATAACAAACAAGCGGTACAAGTACTGTCCCCAAAATGCAACTGAAACAGGAGCACACCAACTAATGGAAATAAACACTTAGAAGCAAAAAGGCAAAGTCATTTCAGGATTGAAAGGAAAGAAGATTCAACTCATGACACAAAGTTTGAAGCAAAATGCACAGCTAGAAAATTCCTGAACTGATCATGGCCAAACATACATGAGGAAACAATGATACCAGTTATGTTTCATATTCACAAACTACCAAGAAGGGGGAAAGAGATGACTCACTATGCATACAAAAAATATTACTCACAATTCAAGCCACAAACCACAAAGCGTAATGCACACATACTCAAGAGAATCAGTTCACTTTATCCCCTCAATTTCATGGAATGACTGGGAAAGGGAAGGACAGATGCATGCGGAGGATACTGGGTGTGACAAAGTGATTTGTTTTATTTCTTTCTATACTGAGTCCTTACTTTGCTGTTACCGACTTGAAACAGTCTGTCATTAAGATAGGAAAAAAACAAAGACAAATAAAGCACATAAAAAGAATAATTTTACAATAATGAGCATGAGCATAAAACATGTTTGCAGGAGTCTTTGCACCTGTCAAACACATAAATCAAAAGTGTAGACACAAACACAAACATGACACTCACTCTTAGTGTGATGTACAGTCATCGAGAAAATGAGCGATGGCCACAAAGTATAACAGGCATTCACAAATAACATTGAGGCACATGATAAACAAACATGATCAACTATGAATGAACATCTACAACAACCAATGTGGAAATAAAGAATAAACTTAACATCTGAAACACTAAAAGCCATCAATCCTTTGACACACAAACACATCAATCAACCTGTGAAAAATTGTGTGTGTAAAAATAAAGTGATAAGGGAAAAGATAACTAAACTTTAAAACATAGAAGGGTTTCAAGAAGAAACGTCCAACCTGGAGGGAGAATATAGAGTACATGATTATGCTTCAAGTTCTTCCCAACCTCCAAAGGCCTACAATTATCTTCCCAAGAAAAGGGAGCCAATCGCCCTTTCCCATTTATATCACCCAAAACCTCACATAGCAGACAGTAAAGATAATAGATGAATCATGTCCTCCAATCATCTTTTCCGAAGATCAGTTTCAACATCAACCACAAGCCTTGCAATATGAAAATCATACTAAAGAAAACATTTTTTATTAGTACTGAAATTATTAAAAAACCACGATACTTTAACTTTTGCTAAAATGTTTGCTTTGCTTGCAAGAATACCTCTAATACAAGTTCAGACTGCATATCACTGCTTTTAAAAACAGAATTTAAAGGATGGGAACAATATGAAACAATGAGGGCAGTGCCCATATGTTGATATGAAAGAACAAAGTGGCAGACCAAAACCAGAGGTATTAAAGATATTTAGTCTGAAAACTGGTCATGAGCAATTCAAAAAACAAAATGGATTAAAATGAAATAGATCAATAATCTTTAATGTATCCCCCAAAACACAAACACACACAGACATACACACACACACACACAGATGTACACACACACACACACACACTGCATGAAACAAAATAAAAACCAAATTACAACACTGAACAATCTGAACAACAATATAGCATTTCTACAACTAATGGTACATATAACTGCTGAGTACTTTTCCCACTCATCCAACTTCACAATAGTCTATAAAGTTTTCTACCTTCATCAAAAAAGTAGTTTTTGCAAGTCAAGCTTTACTTGAGGAAAATCAAAGACTCGTGAAAAAAGTTTACCAGTATCAAAGCAAATTTTTGTATTTTTTTTCGCACAAAGAGAAGACTATTAAAAGAAAAAAAGAAAGAGGGCCCAGATCTGCCGTAGGTCTTTTAAAAAAACAAATACAACACTACTCTTTAACGCACTAAAACTGACAAATTCCTTAAAATTAGTAAACCCTGTAGTGAAGTAGACTTAGGTTACAGGTTAAGTAGACATTATTGTGTTTAGAGATTCCGCACATACCAGGTTCATAATTTTTAAAGAAATATTGTTACTGGAAAGAAGAAGTCCATCAAACTATTGCTTCAATGGGGAAAAAAAGTAAATACAAAATAAATGTACGAACACATCACAAACATGTATAGACATTTCCTAAAAAGTGATGACACAGCATGCAATTGTACTAAGATCAGATTCAGTACTGTTCTAAACATGACACCAACCAACTAGATCCGGACATCATAGGACTTGAGATGGCGAGTCTCTCGCAATACTGAGGGAAGCTCCGAATAGAGCAGTTTCCCTTAAGGCCAAGGCTTGCCAGTGTTGTAAAGCTTTATCAAATTGAACTTTTCGCAATACTATTCTCATGTTCAAAGGACAAGTTTAAATACCTGTGATTTGTTGGCACTTGCAAATGTGCAAAGTGAACCAAATTATATCTGAACCATGGTATAAACTTGGTGACCTGAAACCTGTCTTAGAGAGACCATAAAAATACCTTGCAAACACAAAATAAAACTTTTACTGAAGGAGAAAAACAATAAATACCAGCGAAAACAGACAAAATACAAACCACTGAGAAATGTCCATCAGCTACCATATTTATATAACGTCTTTTCAACAGACAATGAAGGATGCGCAACAGTTTGGTGATACCAGACAATAAATTCAGTGTGCACACAGACATTTTCATGGACAATTTGCCCCATGTAATTTGAGTCAATCATCGATAGAATTGTGAACCTGTCTTTCAGTATGTACATACCTCACAATGATAGCAATCCACATGAAAGTCCTTGTCCATAGACACAACTCGAACTGTCTCCTCCGTACCCTGTACACAGACAGCAAGCTCGTTATATCAAAATTTATACACAAAAACCCCCCCATGCATGCATAAAACAGAAAGAGTGCATGAACATGTATATGAATCTTGCAGAGTCCATTGTCTTAACAGTAAAATGGCTGTAAGCATACATCCAGAGAAACAAAATAGATTGCACAGCAGAAAGTGCCACAGACACATTAGCAGGAGACTTGAATCTCCTGTCACCTGGACAGCAAATCTATAAAAACAAGATGTCTAAAGGAAATCAATGAAGAAAAACTGTCCATCTACAAAAGAATGCATTCAGTGTACTAAAAAAAAACTGTTTCTACAATAAAAACTAAGGACCTTATATAACAATGATAAAAGTAATAATATTACTTGATACATTATGGACTTATTGCAACAGTTGTCTAATCAAAACACAAACAAAGTTTTTCTCCAAAGAATAAAAAAAACCTGAACACAATTTTTGTAACACACAGGTGACAAAATTAATGTTTCCCGCGTCTTATTAAAGCTTCAACTTTTAAATTGTCAGGTCTCAAAAGATAGGATGATTACTCATTAAATGCAGACACATTGCTGTTATATCTTGCAGCACCCTTCCTTTGTGTCAGTTTCAAAAAACATATTATGTTTGCCTATGACAAGAGTCCAATATTATCTAAAAAATAGCACAAAATAGGAGACCATAATGGTATCCGCTCATGGCGCAAGTTGCACTCCTTAGCCCTCTCCCTTCTACAGAGAACCCTCCTCTGTTGGTAGACCAACGGCTGAACACAAGGAGAGTTACAGTAAGCTCAGTCCACTTACATCCACTGGTGTGATAGCCTGCCCACAAGCTGCGCATTTTGGTGCATACACTCTGGAAAGACAAAATTATCTGCATGAATAACTGTAGGACACTCTACAATCAGACTGAATTTCTGTTGGTTTACATACACAGAGCATGTATTACTTTCATGAGTTTAAGTCTCAGGACTAATTAACTTTGAGGAGGCTTTACCAGACATTAATTTTATTTACCATTATGGTCAGTCTCATGCTATTGCTTCTAAATGAAACTGGGGTCAAGAAGCATAATTCAACCTCCTAAACAAATATCACTGCACTTCGTTCAAACACCAACTGATTTTCTGGATGAGAGAAGATATAAAGGAACAAAATTTAAAATATAGAAAATGAAGGAACTATAAAGTACATAAAATTCACTAATAATAGAGTAGAATATCAAATTCACCATAGAAGTCAAAACCTTTTTTCATCCTTCACTAAATAGTGCTGTGAAAAAAAGGTAGCTCAATTCATCCCAAGAGCCCATACCAACAAGATAACCCAAGGACCACAAGAGCAGAACTGACCGGTGATAATCTGACACACAGTATATCTTGTTGTCCACATCTATCGTGAAGGGCACACCGTCCAAACACTCATTGCAGATGCAGCATCGAAAACAGCCGGGGTGGTAAGATTTACCCATAGCCTGTAAGATCTGAGAATGGATTGTTTGTGATTATTACTGAGAAAGAAATCAAAACAATCACAGAGAAGGAAATAAAAAGAAATTTCACCCAAGGCCTTATTACTACACCTTCCTTACGTCTCAACATGCTAGTATATTTGTATGCAACCCCTATGAAACCATTTAATCAAAGAGACAACTTTATCCATAATATTATAACATTGCTACATCTAAAAAAATATCTTACTATTTCTGAAGTTTAAATGATACAATCACAACTGCTTTAAAAGGGCAATTTGCATTCTGCAGTTTTAAAGAGAAAAATGGAATCTGGGAACTCACTTTGCAACATCATTAATAATAATAATTTAAAAAATCAAGCTTAACAGCACCAACAAAATAATACTTTCGTTGCAATAAAGAATTAGTCCACGCCAAAAAATTAATAATACCATTTCATCAGAAGAAAAAACATAACAGTGACCTGAAACATGTGCATTCTTGAAATAGTTAATGACTTCAATAAACAACTTAGCCACAAACCATTTCCATAATAAGGTGACCACACACAACACATTTCTCTGCTGTCTGTTGAAATCCTGAGTACTGAGGACACAAAGAAACAAAAGAAATCAGTGAAACTAAAGATATCAACCTGGTGAGACAAAAGCAGACATTCGTGATTGCAGGTTGGAAAAACGTAGTGACAGAATAAAAATGAAGGGGGGGGGGGGGGGGGGGAGTGTTAGAGGACAACATAAAACTAACTGATTCCCTTTGCGTTAGTTCAACATAGGAGCAACAATTTATGATATAACAGCATGCTATGCAGGAAAACAGCAATACAAAAAAAAAAGAAAGAAAGAAAGAAAGAAACGAAAGACGGATAATAGAAAAGTAGAATTTACTAGAAACATTAAAAGAAGATGAGAAAAGGAAAAAAGAGAGAAATGAAGAAAAGTGAGAACGGGATGAAGAGTAATAAAAAGAGAGACAGAGGGGCAACAGTGAGAAAGAAAACAGAGAGAGAAAAAACAGTGAGAGAAAATAAAAAGAGAGAGAGAGAGAGAGAGAGAGAGAGAGAGAGAGAGAGAGAGAGAGAGACAGACAGACAGACAGACAGACAGACAGAGAGAGACAGACACAGGCAGAGGGGGAGATTACAAACACAAAAAACCGTAAAGCAAAGGACTGAAATACCTACCAAATAGTCCTCCTCACAGTACACCTTGCCGTGCACATTGTAGAATGCTTTACCCCTGAGAGTTCGACCTGGAGAACGGAATAAAAGAGAAACAAACATTATGGTAACAGTAAATGTAGAAAAGAAACACTATTTTAAAAATTTGATCTTGTGGGTTAGTTTATTTGTTTGTTTATATTAACACAATAACGACCATCTAGCTCAAGGGAAAAGCAAGGCCAATTCCTAACAACATCAAGGTGAGAAAGTCAGGTTTTAGTAAGAGTTTACGGCATTTGCAACACAATAAGGTCATATAAGTGCTGAAGATAAAGAGGTGTTACAAGAGAGTAAAAAACACAAAATAGAAGGAGGGGAGAAAAGGACGACAGATGTTTGATAGGAAACAAGGAGCAAACCACACCAGAGCACCCGCCAACCACCCACAGGTTGAGAAAGTTAAAAAGGAAGAACTGCTGGTGGCGCCCTAAAACCACCCGCTTGTATAAACGTTGTAAGTTATTAACTACGAGGCATGATCCCCCGAACTTAACACCTATCTCTGACAGGACAGGGACTAGTAGATGGAGAGCCTTGAACGACTCCCCGGGCAACCTAAGTTGAAACAACATCAACAACAACAGCACGTCAGAGTCAAAGCCGAACTAAATTTTTTTAAAATAAATGCTACACAAACAGAATCAATACCGGAGTCCGTGTTCAAGTTGCGCACATTAAAGATCCATTGGCGGTCTAAAATCGATAAGAGCAGGCTTCAGCCGCCACCCGGGGAAAATTCAAAATTTCCTACCAACTGAAAAAGTTTAATGTGTCCCGCGCGCTCATATGACCTTATGCAGTTGCGAGCGCCGTAAAACACTTACCAAAATTTTTTTTTTTTTTAAACTAAGAAAAAATACCGGAGTCCAGTGCTGCTATCGAGAAATGCACTGAACTATAGAGACAGGTACTGAATGTATTGAAAATGTAGAATATCATAAATTAAACATTTTTTTCTGACCCACCCCGCCCGCTGATGTATAGATCTAGACCTCCGAAAGAACACTAG